CTGCTCACTGTCCTTCAGCCATCTCTCTGTCACGCTACCACATTCCCAATTAATGCCGCAAAAACACAATCAGAATTGTGCTCAGGATGAATACTGCACTGAATTAGGGAAACATTTACGGGCTAGAATCCAAACTGTGTCCGTAGGACATGCCAGAGCTCATTTTATAAGGATCCATCATAATCCACCATTAATGTTAAACTGCACCACCCCAGCCCTGGATTTAATCAATCTCTGCTTTTTCAAATTGAAAAGTAGGACTCTCGAGATATCTAATTGGACAATAGTGAAAATAGCAAAGCTTTTTGTTTATTCTTTGTGTTTTACATTAAGAACCGTCGGGATTTCAGTCAAATCAAATCTTAAACTCAACTCTCTTGTGATTATAGCGTGCCATTTGCTTTCAGTTGCTATTTGACGATGGCTCCGTATAAGGCTGCCCTTTTCTTGTCTGGTGCAGTCTTATACCACTTGACATCGACTTGGGCAGGGAGGAATTGAAAGGTCAGAAGCTGAATGAAAACGTGCCCTTGTTCTGAGATTTGTGGTAATGCTCAGCGGGGCTCAAGCATTTGAAACCCTTCTCTGCAATGCAAAGCTTGCACCCACTTTTCTCATTAATTAGCCCTCAATCACTGGTGGCTGCATTTCCACTGTTCTTCCCGTCAAGATTTAATGGTCAAGATTTATCGGTGTGTTGACTTGGTTGGGTGTTTGACTTGGGCTCGAGATGCTATCAGTCATTTTTGCCCTCCCCACCCTCTTTGGCTTGGGTGCCCGGCCAGCAGTGCCAAGTGCTTTGAGACATCCTCCCGATGTGAAAGGTATTTCTTAAATGTAAACCGCGTTGCATTTGTGTGATTGTCTTTGTTGGGTATTTGTCTGCAGCTTTGTGTAATGGTCAGGATCTCCTGGCAAGGTGGTTGGTGCTTTCATGTGGTCTTCCGGACCTCTACAATAGCATTTTAACCCTAAGCCCATCATACTAGGTCATCTACTGGGCTGCATGTGACTGCAGTTTGGCCTGTGCTTCTGCTGCACAAAGTTACTGTGTGTGTGTGTGTGTGAAGGTTTTGACCCGTTGCTTCTTCTTGTGCGCCCATCTCTTTCATGCTGTTGCTCTGGCTTCACCTTCCAATAGGGAGAGCGTGTAAGATGAGAAAAAGGAGAGGATTGAGAATAGAGCGTTCCGGGAGGTTAGCCCACAGGAAGGGCGCTATATACTGCAAATGCAAGTTGTCGTCGATGTAGCTCTGAGGAACATGTCAACAGCAACAGCACAGTACACGAACCTGCGGGGCCGAGAGGAGAGGCCATTGGAGGAGACATCGGGACAACAAATAATGGAACCAGGAAAGTGCAGAGCTTCCAAAGTCTACTGTTCACATAAACTCCTTTTAACCATCCAAATCAGACGCTGCCTTCAAACATAATGCAAGTGAAGGTAACTCCACATCGCTCTAAGAGTGGACCTGAACTTTTTGATGGAACCAAGTTGCCACCTAGTGGTTTAATACCATAGTTTATTTCCTGAAAATAAACGAGTTCTAAGCGGAAAAGGACAAGAGGGATTCTACTACTGTGGTGGGAAGGATGAGAGTAGAGGATGCGGAATGGGATAATAATAATAATAATAATAATAATAATAATAATAATAATAATAATAATAATAATAATAATAATAATCCTTGCATTTGATATAGCGCCTTATCACGTCTTCGAATCGTCTCAAGACACTTCACAGAATATACTGTAAATGATAAAATAATAATAATAAGCGAATTGACTGTGTGTTTCTGTGGGCGAAACGCGGCAGCCAATTGCACCCAGCACCGTCCCACAAGCAGTCGTGGATTGAGTGACCAAATTATTATAATTTTGTGCGAAGGAATTATTACTCCCCCGAAAAGCAATCTGCCAATCGACTAACAACCGGGTTTTTACTTACCACTAGGTAAACAAATGAGACCGTAAGATTCAGCGTGAATCCCGTAGTGTAAAGGACAGCTAATGAAGTTTTGCAGATCACAGTGAGAGGAGGAAGCAACACCAGCACAGTGATTAAACAGAAGACACCAGCATAGTATAGGAAGTGATCGGCAATTGGGTCATGTTTTCTTTACTGTTGCAGAGAATCACGTGGAATGTAGCAGATGTGATGAGGCGCTATGCCAAATGCAAGGATTATTATTATTATTTTCTAGCGTGCTGCAGCTTTCTGCTGACATGTACAGAAGCACGTGTGCGCAATCACTGTGTCGTTTTGACACGGAGAACATGTGTATAAGCCCTAATGACCACATGTGACTCATTTTGTCATCGATATTGATCTTGGCAAGTAGAATTCAATGTGACTCTCTTTCAGATCAACCCTGATTTATACTGCAATTACTGTAAATTGTTGTGGAAATTGCCTACTAAAACCTCACCAAGCTGTCCACTCCCTCCGCTCAGTGGGCGCTGACTTGCACCAACCCACCATCGGCAGTCACGCCTTCAAGCCTTTCTGGAGTCCTGTAGCTCGGTGGTTAGAGCGCTCGCTTTGCAAGCGAGAGACCTGGGTTCGATTCCCGCCAGGGTGAAACCTCGGGCAAGTTTCCTTACTTCACACGCCTGATAATAATCCCTCCCCCCAAAAAAACAATAATAAATCGGTCACTTCAATCCACGGCTGTTTGCAGGGACGCTACTGTGCGCAATTGGCTGCCGCGTTTCGCCCACAAAATATGCAGTCAATTCACTTTACAGTATATTATCCTGTGAAGCGCTTTGAGATGTCTAGAAGACGTGAAAATGAACTACATCAAATGCAAGGATTATTATTATTATTTTGCCCCCACTCTCTGGAACCCCTTCTCCTCGCCCCCTCCCTTGCCTCCTTCAAGGCCTGTCTGAAGACTTTCTTCTCTGACCTTGTGTTCGATCGCCTCCCACCTCCTCCCTCATGATCCACTGGGAACTCGTGTAAGCATTGCGATGGGTTTCTGTGTGTGTCGGGCACTCGGATGGCCATAAAACAAAATAAAAGAAGTTTGCGGATCGCCTTTATTCCCGAATGATAATGGACATACTCAATCCCCGCAAACGCGTTACTTTCTGTCAGACTATTTTAGCCCAACTCAAAGGTGATATTTTGGTGTTATTGTACATATTAGTTTTTTTTATTGAAAATTTCAACCAAATATGAGAAATGGGAATCAATCAGTCATCTGTGGAGCCTTTAAGCCACAACATCTCTATGAGTAGTAGTAACATTTTGTGAAGAATGAGGTGTCCCAGTAGCAGTAACACCTAAAGATAGTTCCTCTTTCGCTGCACACATCACTAGATAATATTTAAGGGCATCAAATGGGGGTGAGAAGAGGGATTTGATGTGATACATTAAAGATTTGATAAGTCACATCTTTCTGCCATTCCACTTTTCGCCTAAAAATCGTGCAGTCACTACATCTTACACTCAGTCTTGTGAAGCGCTTTGATATGGTCACTGTGACATGAAAGGAATGATGTCAAATGCAACAATCATTAATATTATTTACGTACAAAATTCAAGAAGGGGTCATTAACATTGATGGAGCAGGGAAGATCAGGGTAAATATTCATGCACGGAGCTATTGGCTTGATTTCGCCCACAAAATACACAGTCAATCCACTTTAGAATATATTCTGTGAAGCGCTTTGAAATATCTTAACAATGTGATGAGGTGCTATGTCAAATGCAAGGTTTATTATTATCTCAGCAATGAGGTGAAACTTGTGCCACTTAGCAGAATGAAATTTACACTTATTTATTCAAAATCAAAGACTCAATAAATCTAATAATTTCACCCCTATTTTGTCTATCCGTTTTTGCCCGCAATAATAATGCACATAGTCAATCCCCACAAACGTGTTACTTTCTGTCGGAATATTTTAGCCCAACTCTGAAAGGTGATATTTTGGTGTCATTTTACATATCATTTATTTTATTGGAAATTTCAACCAAATGTAATTGTTCATATTTCTAGACAAGGAGTAGACCAGTCCTTCAGCAAGTCGTGGGTGACCTTCCTTCCTCCATGTGTTCAGACGAGGTTCCAGTAAATGTACACCCATAGATGTGTTCTACTTGGAAACTAGTCTCAGACTGTATGAAGATAAGATCATTATTCTGCTGACTAATCTATCCACAATTCTGCTCTGCTGTGCATGGTTATTTGACTCCTACTTAAATAACATACATTTTTAATACTCGTCCTGAAGAAGCGATGAGGTGCGACATTAAATACAAGTATTTCTATTACTATTATTATCATAACTTGACTCTGAATTTTTTAGACTGTTTCAGACTTGTTTCAGATCCTCTATTTCTCTTTATTGCGTTATAGCCTAATCAGTCTGTTCCTTCCTGCCCTTGTGTTTTTGGCTAGTGCCATAATCCTCACAAGATCAGACAAATTAGTAGGCATCATACCTATTTCTATGCATATTCTTGAAACCCTCCCCTTCCCTCCTCCAACTGGGCAGAGATGTGTTCAATTTCCAATAGAGGGAGTCTAATTGCATTTCTCAATCTCTCTCTCTCTCTCTCTCTGTTTGTGAACCCATTTTTATTTTATTTTTATTATTTTTGTTTGAGTGAGGAGAGAATATGGGGTGGGGGGGAGGGTATTTACATTTTGAGTTCAATTAGAAGGGAAATGGATCCGATATCAAAGCCAAAATAACATCAAAATGACGTAGAACTGCAGTGTTACTTTCCAATGCATTAACATCTGCAAATGAGACAAAGTTATAGCTGTGTGTGTGTGTAAAAAAAAATCACTTGGTGTGTTATTGCACTTAATAATTTTAACTAGCATTTCTATGCATATTCACTTAATGCATTTAACTAACCCTCCTCCCTCAAAGAAAGATTTCTGTGTAGAATCGATTGGATGAGCTGTTAATTGTGTCAATCGTAGACATACGCGGACAAAGTCAAAGAGGAAGTGCAGAGCAGGAACTAAGTCACTCAACCAAACGTTTGGCCAAAGAAACAGCCATCAAAAGCCAAATGGACATAAGTGCAACTGGACCCAACTGAGCTAAAATGCGCCTCTAGTCAAAATCAGGCGTAAAACTACAACAAACAACAAAAAAGGAGTGTTGTGCCATCTATCCACTCAACCAGCCAACCATTCATTCATTTCATTCGCTGGAAAACAGAGTTAAGTTTTAAAAAGATCACATTGCAGTGACCACAAGGGAAGTGAGTCAACTCAACAGCTGCTTTGAAACATGGTGAGTTTGTGTCCCTCTTGCCTTGGCTCCTCTCCTGATCATAATGCTACTTTCCTTTCACTAGGTGATTGCTAGTCTATAATTTTTTTTTTGCTTGGGCAGAGTCTGGCACAGGTCAGGTGGGGTGAGGGAAGTTTGCTTTGCACCCATCCCCGGCTTCATGCTGAACACAGACTGGTTTAATTTGAGTTGAAACATTGGAACAGGTCTCTTTTTTTAAAAAAGAAAGAGCAGGTTGGGTTGCAGTCATTTCCGTATCTGTTATCAGTTTTTTCCGCTTTGCACTAGACTAGATGATCTGTTAATCACCATTATGTTTTGCATTATATATATATTATATGTGTGTACAATATATGTCAATCTACCAATCTGGGGGGGGAGGGAAATCTTTACTACCTTCAATTAACTTTATTTCTCTTTCTTTCTCTCTGTCTTGTCTTTTTATCACTTAAAGTCTGTATTTTGCTGAGTGAGGTCTTGTGGTTTCCTCTGTTTGTATAGGCTTTGATGGACATTGTGATTCTGAGTGAGGCGATTGAACGTTTTCACAGGTTGAAAGAGAAATGGGTGAAAATGTGTTGTGTGTGATTCGGGAGTTTCAGTTCCAAATCAGCCAAGCGCACAAAACAGAAAGGTTTGGGTTTAATTTGGATTCATTCATTTAGAGATATTACTAACACATTAGAACAAGTCAGTTAATAGTTAAGGAGAGATACCTCATCTATGTATCGTATGACATTGCATTTAATGTAGTGATAATAGTAATAATCTTTGCATTTGATATCGCACTTTTCATTTCACTTCTTCGAGACTTCTCAAAGCGCTTCACAGAAGAGTAAAGTGAATTGACTCTATATGTTGTATGCAAAACCCAGCAGCCAATTTGCACACAGCAATGCTCCCCAAAACAGTCATGAAGTGAATGAGCAATTTTATCTGTGGGATTGTTGGCCAGGACACTGGGAGAAACTCTCTTTTCGAATAGTGCCACGAGATCTTTAATGTCCACCTGAACTTTAAAGTCTCATCTGAAGGTCGGTGCCTCTGACAATCAGCACTCTCCCAATATTATATTGGAGCATTAGCCTAGACCTGGGGGTTTATACCCACAAACCCTCTGACTCGGCTGGCGCCCCCAACACGAGGTTGGGGGAGAAATTCCATTTGGATCTAGATCTTTCTCTTAGCATTTCAGAGTGAGCAGTTTCTAGACAAGCCTTTATCTTGAAGATGTTTCTTTTGAGAACTTTGCATCCCTTGAAATGCTCTTAAGCCCTAGATCTGGGGGGAGGAAGTGTTCTCCCCCTCTAGATGGGACAAAGGCTTCAAAGAGGTTTTTGAAAAAGAATTGCTTTTAAATACAAATGAGAAACGATTCGCTATCAATTTTGCAGCATCTAAATTATGTGTTTGATGGGGTGATTACAGTGACGAAGAGAAATGAGAAAAGTAAAATCATTTTCAGTTAAAGGTGCTTTTATCAGTGAAATTTATATCAACTGTAGCAAAGCGTTTTATTGCACTGCATCAGGAAAGAACTCTTTCAAAACGGTAGGGTGAGTATTCTGCAGAGATGAGATCAGATGAGCAAAGGGTTTTGTTCATCCAAATTGATCGTGTGTGATCTTGTGAGATATTATTCGATTTAGAGATTTCCATAGACTGTGGGCAGTGGATGCGGATCAAATAAGAAGGAATTAATTCCTTATTGGTGAGATTGCTGTCACAGGAAGGAACTTGTGTGCATATCAACCGGTTTCATCTGAATCGGCAATGCTGGGCAGATTGTCGTGTTAAAGATGTCACGTTATTTGTTCAAAAAAACAAAATGCATCAGATTTACTGGATTTGCACGGTCCGTTTCTTAAAGCAAAGCAAGAAGTGAATGTGTTTTTCAAAAAAAAATCAGGAAGCAAAAAAAGCATTAAGAAAACGGGAACCAAACACTCACCCATTTACAGTATTCAGTCCATATTGTTTGGAAAGTAATTGTGTGCACACAGCCAACACTTGCGAAAGTGCTGTTTGTTATTTGACTGGTGCTCCTTTCTCTCCTCATTTCTGGCGCAGGCAGTTAAAGCAGTTAGGGTTTGGGTTAAGTAGGTCATTTGTTGTTGTGTTGTTTTTGCCTTCTTAACTTTCAACAGACAGATTGAACCCACTTTTTGCAGTTGCCACTCCCAGATCTGGCCAGATTACAAACCACTCACTACCCAATGCCTCTGCCTCTGGTGTCCTCAAGATCACAAGAGCAGTTCCAAAGAAGAAGGCTCTTTGGCCCAGTTGACTTCATCCTTCCAGAACTCCCACTTTACTGTCTTTCCATTGCAGCATCGAGCTTTTTTTCAAAATTGTATTTGAAGGATCGTTGGTCAGCAACCCGGGGCAAACTCCCTTTTCTTCTCCAATAATGCCACATGATCTTTAACATCCACCTGAATGCGGTGCTAATTTCCCCCCCCCCCCCCCCCCCATCCCGCCCCCCCAGCACTGCACTGGAACAGCAGTCTGTTCCAAGTACTACCGCAATGCTTTTGAACTTGCAACCTTCTAACTCAGAGTCAAGAGTGCTACCAATGGAGCTGGGGATTGATAATTATTAGATAATTATATAACTATAATATTAGATAATTATCTGAGAAGGAGAAATATCAACCATAAGGTCCACAGAAAATACAGTCAATTCACTTTGCGGAATATTCTGTGAAGCGCTTTGAGACGTCTCAAAGACATGATAAGGCGCTATGTCAAATATTATTATTTACTATTATTATAGAAAGGCAGGCGGCTTGCACTAAAGGGAGAGCTCTCTCAGAGCAAATCGGCCTCCTTCTGTGCTGTCAGTTTTTATATAATAATAATATAATAATAATAATCCTTGCATTTGATATAGCGCTTTTCACGTCTTCTCGAAATCTCTAAGTGCTTCACAGAATAGACTGTAAAGTGAATTGACCGTATATTTTTCTTGGTTCTTTGGTTGGAATAGAGACTGAGAAGACCCTCCTTGGGTACTTTATTGTGCTCAGAAAACAGAAAATCATAAAAGCCCAAGAAAAGGTTTAACTTCCTGCCATCTCTTGCTCTTACTCTAATCTGTAGCAGCAATTAGGTCATTTAGGCAAATTAGGCAGTTGGAAAGGTGTGAGAGAACTGTACAAAACACCTCAACGATTAACTTTTGTGGCTGTTGCTCTATTTTAATCATAGATATATTATATGCTGGATTTTTTTCTCTCTAAGCAAGGTATGACATAGGTGTTAAATGTGTTAGCAGTAGATAGATGAGTTGCTGGGAACTGCTGTCAAACCCTTATTGGTTTACCACTGTCTTTCTGTGCCCTGGGGTTGAGGGTGGAAGTAGAACCCATGCTTTCAGAAGTCTCAAAAACTGTCTGTGATATATGATGCTTCACACATTCACAGGCTGGCTTTAGACTATTTCAGGGTTACGTCAACAGGCAGAGGCCAGGAGAGAATAATTTTAGAGTTTGCTCTTTAAAGCACTTTTCACACGGGTAGAATTTCTCAGAGATGATGTGGGAGCCCGAGCTAAGAGGGAGGAGGAGAGAGTAGCCAAAGATGTAGTCAAAGAGAAGGGAAATTTTAGATGGGTTTTGAGAAGGGGGGATGAGGGTAAGATGGAAGGATATCAAAGGAGAGTTCCAGAGGGTTTCTTATCATTGTGAGGCAACAATTTACCAGATTAATCTCCGCCGTGAAAGGGATGATGAGAAGCCGATCTATATTAACGTACAAGTACACAGTCACTGAACTTCAGAGTAAAATACTATCGAGCACTTTGGGATGTTTCAACGACGTGATTGTCAAATGCAAGGATCGTTGTACTCACTGGAGCTGAAGAGGTTATAAGGGGCCAAACTGGCTGAAATGTTGAAAATAAATATATAATAATCATTGCGCGTCACAGGATATATTGTTGAGTATAGTGAATATGTGTTACGTAAGCGGCCAATTTTGGACACAAAGACATCCTACAAACACCCACAAAGTGAATAACCAACCTGGGTTAGGATTTTATAGACCCTCCCAACTTTCCTTATAATGCAGGTTTTACTACATAAAGCAAGATGCAGAAAAGCTAGAAAAATGGGCTTAAAATCTTACAGGATTTTATTGATGATCTAATGAAATGATGGAGTGGGTTTGACAGACTGCCTCTTTTGCTGCTGATTTGTTTTCCATCACCACCATTCACTGCCTCTGGTTGGTGACTGGCAGTGATTTTCTCCTGAGCGTTGGGAGCGATTATGACGCAGACTGTGTGATTTCATAATTTCACACCGTATATTTTTCGCTCTCCGATCCCCACGACCTTGGGGGAGAAATAAGGGGAGGTCGGGAGCAAAGTCATTCAGTTTCAGTTCCTTTTATTGGTGCCTCCACAACAGCATGCAGATGACTGATGTCTGAGACAGATGATAGGCAACACATTTGGTGATGAGAGTCCCACGCTTGTAGTTAAAGAAAAACTCCTAATTTCTAATATTAATGGTAGCTCTCTTGCCTCTGAGTCAGCAGGTTGTCAGTTCATATACTTTCATTTGATAGAGTTCCTTATCACGACTTTGAGACGTCTCAAAGCGCTGCAAAGAATAAACCGCAAAGTGGAATGACTCTGTATTTTGTGGGCGAAACTTGAACTCACATAGTTTAAGCTGACACTCAAATGCAGCGTTGGGGGGGGGGGGTAGGGGTATTGCATTGTCGGAGGTACTGTCCTTCGGATGAGACATTAAACTGGGGTCTCCTTCTGCTTCTTCGGGTGGATGTTAAAGATCTCATGATTCAAAAAGAGAAGAGAGTATCTCTCTCCTCGTGTCCTGGCCAGCAATCTCCCAAATAAAATCGGTCACTCGTTTCGTGGCTGTTTGCGGGACATCGCTGTGCGCAATTGCATTGCCTCGATTGCCTACAATCACGCAGTCACTCCATTTCACAGTAAATCCAGTGAAGCGCTCTGAGACATCCTTCCGACG